GTCTGTATCTCGTTTCTGGCTGATGTTTCTTTGCTCTACTCTAGAACGATCATCATGGTCACGCGCTGAAAAAAACCCCATTGTTATCGAAGACCTAACTAGCGAAGAAGCATTCACTTACCTCCACAGCAAACTTGGCATTGAAAAAAAGGTCACCAATCAACTCATCCAACTCTTAGGTGGTCGGATTCGTGATCTTAAGGAATATGGTAATATGGTAAATAGAGGCGTGACATTCGAAGGTGAGAGTGCATTTACTATCTGGACAATGATGATGATATTTTGCATAAACGTTGTGTGAACATTCTCATCATACTTAATATATTGCTTTTAGAGGTTCGTAAAATTGTGCTCGGTGCCGTCCATAAAAACTTTCACCAGGCTCGAATGGTGAAGGGCAAAAGAAATCATGACATTGGCAAGATCATTGTCCAAGAGTTGTTGAAAAATGAAGAAATCCATATTGATACATTCGTCGAGCTCGTCAACAACGAACAAATAGCCGATGAACTGCTACAGGCCAATGTTTTCTCATATAACCCGGAAAGCGAAACTGTCACCTTCCAGTCTCGCGCAACTGAAGTTTTTGTGAGAGAAAGTCCAGAATTTTCATTATAAATAAAGAATGGGGTCGCCGGCCTCGCCATTTTTTACATAATTTTTTACAATGTAATTTGCGATCATTAATTAGTGGAAACTATTAAGTTAATCTATGTTCTTACAGTTACTAGTGGGATTCCAGTATCGCGTGTTAATATGTAATTGGAATTTTTTGTTTTTTTTCACGCTACTTAAATCATAGTAATAACCTGGTTCATCTTCACGCAATATTCTTCATCATTGTTATCAGGGAATTTATCATCATTTTCATTATTCTTATCGAATACATTTACAGTTTCTGGTGAAGATTTGACATTCTCACTTATCTCAACTTCCGAGGTAGGGATTGGATCCGTTTAACTGTTTAAAAATTGCTCCATAGTTCCGGGCGGAATTATGTTGGTCATGAGCTGGAATGATTTTAATGCCGGCCAAATTAAGAAATATATGTGAATATGTAGAAAAAAAATCACAATAATTTGCAAAAAAAATTTCAAGTTTACTACATATGCTAAGTAGTTTATGTGGTCTACAATAAAATACGCATTATCTCCTTTGTTGATATCCCAAACTGAAACATAATCAGAAAAACAAAATAAAACATTAAAATGAAAAAGTGCAGTAAACGATTAAGAAAAATTTTAGGTAGGGATGCGAGTTTACACTATACCGTATTATACGATTAGTATAATACCAGTATTATACACAGAGATATAGGTATCCCTTACACCGTCTCGCAGGCAAATTGCCTGCGAATTTTTTTTTGTACAATATTGAGAGTTTAAATTCC